GAAAATGATATTAAAAAACTAAATTTCTTGAAATTTTTTAACACCCTGTAGCTTGGAAAAGAAAACCCGTGAGCATAATTTTATATGACAAATATTTATTTTTTAAAATAAAAAATCCACTGTTTAATTTATTCCCAACCTTTATGTTACACCCTGTATATTTGGAGAATCGAAATGTTCAATTGACACTATTTTGTAGACATCGAGTCCCTGGACAAAAATTTTTTCATCTCGCCCGCTCACTACTCGGCTATAACTTGTTTTATGACTTTTAATATTTTTGCTATGCTTGGCAGCTGGCTACCAAGTTGTGTCATTTGGGTAAGTATGGCGTAGGACTCGCCAGAGTTGTAATTCTAATGCAACCCAATTTCAAAATATAGCCTGGTCCAAAATATTTATGGATTCCGGTCACCCTGAGGGCTCTTTACATCCCTTTCTATTTACTGTGTAATTACCAGGTGAAGGGAGTCGAGAGAATCTTGCCAGTAGTAATTACTAACGACTGGGTTTACTGGATAGTCGCCATTACTATGGGTTTCACCAGCGGGTATTTCAGTTCTCTTGCTATGATGTATACGCCAAGGTACTATGTTTTCTTTAATAACAGTTTTCGTGGTGTTAACAAATAAAGTACCTCAGCCAAATTAAGGCCAATAGCTACAGATTTCTTTTGAACAAATAGACCAGGTTTTGAGGTGGGTGTGAGCAAATTTTTTCTAGATTACCTTCAGTACAACTCACATATTAAAAGTGTAGATCCCTAGATCTGGGCAAGGTCCGGAACATTTTCAAAATTGCAAAAATGTTTAAAAATTTTAAAAAAATACCTATTGTTATCTGAGTTTTTTGCTTATATCTTGGAACCTATGTATTTTGGAAGAATATTGAAGAGGAAAAAAGTTTTAGAATTGAATTTTGCACAGTATACTGTAAGTTACAAATGTTTAAATTTGTTACAGATATTGCAAAATAGGAATTGATGAAAAAAAGGCAAAATAATCAATTTTTTTTTAAAATATTTTAATTATTCCGAGGGCATTCTAATTTTGGTAAAAAAACTTTATAGTATAATAAAACAACACACCAAATTTCTTTAAAATCGGTCCGATAGTTTCCGCAAAATAATTTTTTGAAAAAAATTTGGAAAAATTTTTTTCGAATTTTCAAAATGTTGCACAGCCTCAAATAAAGCATCCAGATACTTGAAAATTTTTCACATGGAAAAGACCGCTCAACCTTTCAAATGGTTTTGAAAAATTGAAATCGGTTGATTAGGACGGCCACAGTAAATTTTTAAAGTTAACACTTTTTTTTTTATTTTTAAACAATTAGATTACATTTATTAATTTGCAATTTAGTTTTTTCAAAAATTATAATTTTAAAGTATTGTTTTTTCTTAATTTTATCTGTATTTAACAAAAAAATTAATTTCCAAATAAAAACTTTTTATATTTGTTTAAATGTAATAATTATAACTAAATATATTCATATTCAGAGTATTGAAACATATACGTAAACAAATTTTTTCATTGAAAAAATGCAATAGCATAGGGTAAAATATACAGTGTATTTAATGCATAAATAATAAAAATTTCATAAAAATTCAAAATTTTTATCAAAAAATTATTTTGCGAAAACTGTTGAATTTTAATGAAATTTGGTGTGTTGTTTTATTATACTCTAAAGTTTTTTTACCAAAATTAGAATGCCCTCGGAGCAATTAAAATATTTAAAAAAAATTATACAAAAAAGTTGATTATTTTGCCTTTTTTTCATCAATT